AAGGAGAGAATGAATGTGTGTTCATAAAGCAAAATTTCTGTACGTTGTGTAATAGCATAGATGTTATTTATATGTACTTACAAGTAAGAATTGTCCCATAAACAGGGATCTTTGTGTCTTTTAAAATAGAGATATTTAAAACTCATTGCCTACTGTTTATAGTCTTTTAATATCCAAGTAACTGCAATATTACTGCTCTATGTCTGCTGTTGAAACATATGAAGATGACTAAATGGTAAATTGAATAGAGAATTAATACTCCATATAGTCTTTTAATATCCAAGTAACTGCAATATTACTGCTCTGTGTCTGCTGTTGAAACATATGAAGATGACTAAATGGTAAATTGAATAGAGAATTAATACTCCTTTTCTCTACTGGGCTATGATGCAATAATAGAAAAAGATGAAAGATGACAAAATTTGAAGACTTTTGGAAAGGAAGACTCAGGAAATAAGACCATGAGTATTGTGTTGAGATCTGAAGTGTAAATGCCTTAGCATTTGTTTTGACTGTCATAAAGGTAGGTTTGGATAGGTAGAGAAGTGTCTTAAAATGAATTTGGAGACAAGTTGAAGGTGACTCCTTAAATCAGTAGTGAGATTTGTCCCAAAATCATGATATGTGAAAAAATAACAATCTTCATTGGCAGCAGAGCAAGAAGCCTGATCAAAGGGTGTTTGATTGATTAGAGTGGATCTAGTGGAATAAAGGAATTTATGACCAAGTTAAAAAATAATCTAATTTCAAACAGAAGAATGGCTAACGTTAAGAAGTAAGTTCTGATGGAGGAGAATTCTGTTGATATTCATATTTGTCTCCAGTGGAAGCATTGTTTATTTGTTTGACTGTTTTCCCATTGCTGCCAAGTGGTCAGATAGGCAAAGGCTAGTTCGCCCAGTGACTAGAAAGACACTGTGGGATTAACGTAATCTGACCACTTTCCCCCACTCCTTTCCTTTTCAAATTCTGCAATATCCAATAGTACATGTTCACCCCCACTGTCTTTTGCAATAGGTAAAGTTCCATTCTTAATGTCAAATTTCTCTTTATCCCATCCTCTATTCAGGTAGAAAGTGAATCAGCTGAAAAGCTATACAGTCATGATCTTTAATTAATTCTGGATTTGAATATTATAGGCAAGCTGGTGATGCTGTAATAAAAATGCCTTGGTAATGTAACTTTTCTACTTTTTTTTTTTTTTTTTTTTTTTTTTGAGACTGGCCGCACCGCGCTCAGCCAGTGAGCGCACTGGCCATCCTATATAGGATCCGAACCCGCGGTGGGAGTGCTGCTGTGCTCCCAGCGCCGCACTGTCCCGAGTGCGCCTCGGGCTTGGCCCGTAACTTTTCTACTTTTAATAACTGTCTTCAGAAAATCTATAAGATTTGTCCTATTTTCTGTTGTTCTAATAAACTTGTGCGAGAAGTTGCTATTTTTTTAGTATACTGGATAAAGTAATGAAATATTTTTGAAAACTCTCACATTCTTTTTTCTATTACTTTCCCTTTCCAATCCTTGGCCAATATTTATCTTGAAAATGCATAGGTTATTTGGACACTAGGTAGACTTGTGAAGCTGTTTGTTTGACCATTTCAGCATCAGGATCTGAACAATTTTGACAACTTTTGATAAATATTCTTCTCCCTTAACCCTGGGACTAACCCTGCTCCTTATAGCTCTTATGTTTATTAAAGAGAGTATTACTATTTAACTTTTAGCAAAATCACTAGACCAATAACAGCCACTGCGAATGACTCTTCTCTAAAGTATTTCACTGTTTAGTTTTTCTATTAATTATACAATACGAATTCCTCTTTGTGATATATAACACTAAATTCTCTGGTAACATAAAATCAATGATATAATGGGGTGTACTCTGCTAAAAGAATATATCATAGTGTATCAATCCTGTTTTAAGTATAGGTAAAGGATGTCTATATTTAAATAAAAACAACAGAGTGAGTTTTTCTAAAAAGGTCTAAGAAAGAAATATGTTCTAAAGGTCAGATTAGATTAACAACAATGCATTCATTTTCATTTATGTGTGAAGCTCTTATCTCTTTTCTGGAGGTTTCATCACTTTTCATGAAAGTCTTTGTTATCCCAGTATAGAATTCAAGTCATTTGTTTGCATCAGATGCTGGTTTTAGTGACTTTATTGTTGCCATCAAATATTATGAACAGGAGAACATTCAGAAAGAATTAGCAAATTCTCTTATCAGATGCTAACACTGACAAAAAATCTCTAAGTCTGCACAAGGGAAAACAGTTACAGTGTTGTTTCTGTTTAAAAGACACTGAAGTGGTTCTCTCTGGAATATTTTTCTGATGGACTCATTTTTGACAAGTAAGATAAGTTGTACAAGATTTAATCTCTGTTATATAGCATTCTTTGGAGGACAGCAGATATTAGATAATGTCATTAGCCTGACTTTGTTATTCTCCCAAGTTTAGGAGAATTAGAAAAAAAATCTTACAAGAAATAAGGGGGAAGTCGTAACTTTTCTTCATATTATTTGACATTAGTTTATTTTGGGGTTAGTTTAGTTTAGTTTATTATTAGACATTAGTCCAAATTAACAAAAAAAATTAACAAATGCTTTCTGGTAATGATTAACTTGTGCACATCCCTGATTCTTTAGACATCCAGTTCTAATAGTAACATGGAAAACCATTGTAATAGTGGCTATGGAGAACGGAGAAAATATTTTCACCTGATGTAAGTTCACACTCTATACAATAAAAGAGAAGAAAAACAACTCCGATACTTAAACTTTTTTTTTTTTTTTTTGAGGGTTTAACTTTTTTCCGTGTCCGGCAACGGATCGCAACCCTCAGTGTTGCCCCCC